AAGCGTCACTATAGCCTTCTTTTGGATACAAAAGAGTGTGGGCGAAGGCTGCGCGTAACAAATAGCCTAAGTAAGATATAAGAGAATAAAAGAAGATCTTACCATGTCACGGTGTGAACCGTAATGCTTAGTAAAAGGAAGATCACGGCACGTGATCTCCGACCTGTTTATCTTGAACTTCAGTTCTAGATCCTGTTGTAGCTCTTCGAGCTACGTCTTGTATTTTAGCCTGCCCCTGCCTGTACCTGCCTGTCAATGTGAATCTGATCTGTTACGACCTGTCCCTGCCAGTCATCTCCTATCATACCGTCCTGCCAGCCCGCACCCTGACATACCAGATTGTTAGGATTCTCTTTTGTTTGATCTGTTTGCACGATGGATTCTATCGGTTTCTACATAAAATTACGGTACTATAACAATGACTCATTATGGTTACCAGTGAATACAATACAGCCCTACATGGATTAACAGGGGAAGAGCTAAAATTAGATTAGCGTGTCTCTACTTAGGGTCCGGGACATAAAAAGTAAGAGTTTAGAGTTAAAACTGATTTCGAATTCTACTGTAGCCACTCCGCGAGATGATATTACGTATCTGACCACGCGCTCTGCGTAAATTTCCTAACATAGATTCAACCCGTGGAAGAATGGATACTCTTCCACAACCTCTTCGGTTCCCGGGCTGAGCTTGCTGAGCCGGATTTCTATCCAGTGCACGCGTTCAAAAAGAAAGAATGCCGACACGTAGAGTAAAATATCATCGGCGTAGGTGTCTGGGGATAACGGATCTGGCCCAGTCCAGCTAAAGGCGCGCTCGCTCTCATGGTTAGGGTATGAAATGCAGTCGATAACGCGAGGCCTCTCGGCCTTATTCTTTACATACTGTGGTATGCTAATAGGTTGGATTGAACTGAGAGTGCTGCAATTGGCTGCGAGACAAGGTGGTAGTGTCGGTATATTCGGCGATTCTCTCCAGATTGACCCAAGGTCTAGATCAAAATCGAAGTCTGAAGGGTTTTGTCAGCGCCAACACTAGTCATCGAAGATGTTTCAACCAACCAAGTTGATCAAGTTGCCCCATTCTTTCTGTGCAGCACGAGAGATTGCACGACAAAAGGCGGTTTGCGAAAAAAAGGTAGGCTTGGAGAGTGAGAAAAGCTCTGTGGTTTCATTAGGGATTTATATGTATAGGCCAGAATGACTGGCAGCAAGTCCTTAGCGCAGAGCTATAGTACTGGGGGGGGGGCAGGGTGTTTGTACATAAACACAGAAAAAAACCAAACAAAACCCAGATATTTGGCCATATTCAACAAAAGTCATCGTGTGCCAGTGATTGGTTGTTCTTGATTCACGCAGATGCAGACGGTGAATCATTTGTGTTCTTCCGTTGAAAGGTACATTCATTGGTAGTAGGCTGCCTATGGAACGCCCCACCCATATTCCACCCCGTTGAACTATCCTTTCCGACCCGTTCATTGCCTGCCTTTCCTGTTCAACGCAAGAACCACGAGGCCTGTTTATATCACTCTGCCTACCAATACAATGCCAGCCATAGCCAGGTCAAGCGTGCCAGTCTCATTTCGCTCGAGCAAAAACTCACTGCACCTCATTAATATGACAATAGCGTCTATCACTATTCTGCAATGTTCCGATAATACCCTGATGTATAGAGTCGAAGGCCTGACGACGATCCCACAGCAGCAGCTCCTGGTTATTACAGCATTCTTGGAGCTTCTCATTCTCTCCCACCAGCCATTGGTTGGAGTCTTGTAGGAAACGACGTTCCTCTTCCAAGCGTATTTTGCCGGCGGACTTGATCATGTAACACTCCCACAGGCACAAATAGAGGTCCAGGAGGTCAACAGCGAAGGATGCTAAAGCGGGTTTCTTTTGCAGGATTTGGGTTAAATCACTGGTTAGGGAACAGGCCGCACCCATCGAGGTTGTCTGTTATTTGGTTAGAACCGATCAAATACGGACCAAGTGAAATCTAACCTTTATCTCGCCCAGTGGCATTTGTTTCGAAGAGTTTGTCACTTGTTTGGTGCTGCCTGGCGTCCCAACTGGCTTCTCAAATGTTCGGCATGAGCGGCATCAAGACGCAGTGACCACAGTGTAGCCATGGTGTCCTCACCGGTATTGTAGTGTGTGGAATAAGACGATAAATTGGGGATAACCGTTGTCAAACTCAAAATAATAAAACGTTCAACCACGCAACCATTGGCCTAAACAGGCCAACCTAACAGGGCCCACGGTTCATGTGGGGCAACAGGTAATCGTGCATACACAGCCAAGGTCGCGGTCGAAACGGTTACAGTTGACAAGGAGCGCTGTTCAACTGTAAAACATAAACGATATTTGACTTCCACTTGAGCAAATGGCAAAATCCTACAAAATGGGCTGCAGTAGTATGGTCCCGCGAGACCTGGGGTCCGGGACGTTCAGTTTTGGAAAAATCTTCGGGCATTAGGCCGTTTGCTTTCAGAAAAAAGGATAGACCGCCCTCGCGTCTGTTGAGAGCAATACTCGTACTGTATGTCAGCCTCGAAGGCGCACTGAGATTACACAATATTTTAACGGGGAACCAAGGCACCCCGGTGGTAGACTACCTATCCTTGGCAAAGGCGGGTCGGTTGGTGGCAAACAGCTCACGTCTCTTAGCGCAAGATGCATTCGTTATCGCCAAATAAGAGCGAGCGATAAGAATACTCCCGCCCGCTGGTGCCAGTAATCAACCCCTGCATCACGGACATTACATATAATCAAGGGTGTTCTACTCTACTGATCAGGGATATTCTGTGTTCAAAGCCGTGGTTGTGTCAAAGGTATATACATTAAGTAGACCCATAAGTAAATATCAACTATTCTGCTTACATCAACGACCGACCAGTCCACCCTAGCCTCCAAGTAGGCGAGTGTCGTCCTACTTCGGAGTCTGTCCCATCTCCCTGACGGATGAATCGAATCTAAGCTGCATTTTCAAGCACCGTACAGTACGTCCCGAAACAGGTGCAACCACTACACTCTTCGATTGATTTTCCTGCTCTTATGCCAAGACACACTAGTCTATATTTGGAGCTCTTCCGGTATTCACGTGTGTATTCTTTCGTACGTATGTTACATAGTGACCTGAAACATGTATTATCTTGTAATTTTAATACTATTAACACCTCCATGCCGCCCCTCCTCCGAATCAGCTTTCCTCGGGACGCGCACTTAACAATCTAACTATCACGAGTGGTCCAACCAAAGATGGCTCCAAATCTAGCCCCTTCTAAGCATGAGCTTATCTATGACATGATCCACAGTGGCGAACTATCTATAACTAAGATGGCACAGGCCGCTGGTTGCAACAAGAGCACCATCTCGAGAATCTCTTCTAATATAAGAATGTTTGGCAGCGTCAAGGCACCTCCAAATAAGGGCGGACGACCCCGTAGTATCACTTCAGTCATGCTCGAGGCCTTGTGCGACCATCTGATTGAAAAGCCTGCCTTGTATTTGGACGAGATGGTGATTTTTTTGTGGGACGAATTCGCTCTTCAAGCAACGAAATCGAGCGTCAGTCGCGCCCTTAAGTCCAAAGGCTGGTCAAAAAAGACTGCCCGGGTCAAGGCACGAGAACGCAACCTTGACCTTCGGGACGAATACCATCATTTTATCTCAGACTTCAAGTCTTACCACCTTGTCTATGTCGATGAATCTGGGTGTGATAAAAGGATAGGCTTCCAGCGAACGGGTTGGTCCCCCCTTGGTACTGCACCTGTTCAAGTGTCGAAATTTCATCGTGATCAGCGTTATCAGATTCTGCCTGCGTATGCGCAAGACGGCATTGTTTTGTCTCGAGTATTCCAGGGTTCAACTGACGCATCCATCTTTGGGGATTTTATCGAGCAGCTCCTCCAGCACTGTGGGAAATGGCCCGAGCCGAAGTCTGTGCTAGTGACGGACAACGCATCCTTTCATCACTCGGACAGAATTAAACAGATTTGCTCAGAAGCTGGCGTAAAGCTAGTGTATTTGCCTCCATATTCTCCTGATTTGAATCCTATTGAGGAGTATTTTGCTGAGCTGAAGGCCTTTATCCGGCGTAATTGGCAATCCTACGAAGAAAATCCAGCGCAAGAATTCGACAACTTCCTTGAATGGTGTGTTGACGTTGTTGGTGCGAGGGAGAAGAGCGCGGAGGGGCATTTTCGGCACTCTGGCCTAGCTGTAGAGGTACAGCCTACTGTGGCAGCAGAGTTCGGGACTAACCTCACCGGCTAACTAGAGCGAATTCATTTATGGGCATGATTGCGAATCATGTTGTATTATGAGCTTCTGCAACATTCAGAGATACAAAATGCATATATTCTTCGACATGTCAATGTCATCGTACCAATCTCTAATGCACTGATAGGGTATCTAACCACCCGCCAAGTCGTAAGCCTGTAAGATATCCCAAATGTGTCGATCCATCTTCTCTGACATCTAGCTCCTCCATATCACGAAGGACCCGCTCAATATATTCGCCAGCGCCGCTAAGTTTCATAATAAGTGCGATGGCGCGGTGGACATCAAAAAGCCGGGGGGATGGCGGATCAACCGTGCGATGAGGACTTAGGGTAAGCGATCGTGTGACGGGAAACAAGGGGTCACGTAAGAAAGGACTGCGTTCTGTCGAATCTATCCTGTACTGGTGTCGTGTGCCAGTGGGTTCGAAATAGATCTTGAATTCGCCAAATAGCCGGTGGTAGTCCAGCGTTAGAGTGAGGGCGTTCATAGGACTGTCGATTTTTGGTCCATCGATAAGATGGATTATTCCAGGATCAAACATGTCCAAGATCCGGAGAGCATTTTTCTTTGAATCGCTCTAGGCACAACGTTAGCACCGTCAAAATACTGTATCAATCCCAATAATCGGACATACCAAATCGGTTTCACCAGAAGCTACCGTCGTCAAACAATGAGGGAGAATGTGGGCAACCTCCAAGTATTGAAATTGATCACTGGACTCATCCTTCAATGGGTTCCCGTCATCATCAGCACAAGATTCCGCATTCTCCTCGAAACGCTTTCTGGCTGCTGCTCTATCGAATTTCCGAGACACTACACAGCGGTGGCGGTCGCGCATAAGACATTTCTGTCGTAAAACAGATACACGCTGTCTCGTGCCGGTCGGTGTTGAGCTCTGCAGCGAAGATAACGACGTGGGCGTTGGTTGTGGTGTTTTGACTGATGATGCTCTAACTGCAATTGTGAATTAGCATATACTCACTGGAGATCAAGCAATATGTATATGTAAGGAATCAACGAACGGGGGAGGAGAAAATTTTCAACGATATACTCAGCAAACTTTTCTAAGCCTCCGTGAAGCTTGTTTATTTGTTCCGGTTCCCATGAAGAAAATCCCTCGAAGAATGCCAAGGCGAGGGCAATATCAGAATCAACGGCCTGTCCTTCGTCGAAACGCAGGTCCTCATAGATGTATGTGAGGAAGAAAGTCATAAAGGTATCCGGCGATGTAACGTGCTCGAGAGTAGCCTGGATAAGTGCCGCAGGCCGATAGCCCTTCCGAACGGTCTTCTCAGAGCCATAATGCCGTACAAGCGTGATCACCAGGTTCTTTGCCAACTCATGCTGCTTTCGTGTTAATAATAATGGTATTGAGAAGTCTAAAACCCCCTCCAGGGAGGACTGGTGACGGTGAGTCGCCATCGCTGGGAACTCGCAAGCCTTGGGCTGAGGGTGAGTAGGATGGTGGAGGCATGCGATGAGCTGACTCATATCGGGTTTAACGTCGGCCCGGCAGAATCACCCAGTCATAGATACGCTAATCCGTTTCAGCTCACCACTTCCTCATCACATCACTTCATTATTTTGGCAGAATTGTTCTAGTAATGATACTTGAGTCACTGTTATGGAACTGTAATATTGTAGAGCTGGTTCGCAAACGTAACTAAAAACCAAATTTAACGACGCCATCCCAGCTTGGAATTGGAAGACCCCTTCTCGCAAGCTCGTCTCTTTTTTTAGCTCTCATCTGGCCACGGAATTTTCCCCAATCGGCATACAAAGCTAAGTCCGCAACCGATATCTTAATATAAGAATTCTGTATAGGCTGAGCTTCAATGAAAGCTTCCGAAGCACTGGATAAATTTTCGGTTGCTGGAACCCCATGTGGATGTAAGTGAGCATTAGGCCAACCTTCCACAGAAGATGCGTCGGGAATAATCCATTCCTCGACAGGCTCTTCGGTGGCAGGCTCATCGGCGACAGGCTCATCGGCGACAGGCTCTTCGGTGGCAGGCTCATCGGCGACAGGCTCATCGGCGGCAGGCTCATCGGCGGCAGGCTCATCGGCGGCAGGCTCATCGGCGGCAGGCTCACCGGCGGCAGGGTCTTTGGCGGCACATCTCCCATTAGCCCATAATGCTTTTCAGAGTTCGTGGATCAATATTCTTTGAGAATAGCTTTGCGGGGCTCTCACCGTCTCTCAATGCATTATCCGAAAGGTTTACCGATAGCATATCAACCACCATTTTCATCACAGTGTTATCGAACTGATGATCATGACCAAGAGTACTATAAAGCTCTGCCAGGTTGTTGTTTGGATTTTCAAGCTTCAGCCGCAGCAAATGACTTTTGATGTAATTCGGGAGCCAAGTCTCGCCTTCAGGAAGGGTTGAAAATACATCCCTTGTTAGGCGAAGTACGTCATACAGAGCTAGTTCTTTACCGAAGTGCTCAATGTAATGTTTAGCAAGGCTTTCGAGACCCGGAATCTCACACTTTCTGGATGCATGGTAAACCAGGATGCTTCTTCTGTACTCTCCTGCGATGCCGCATGTGTCAACATCGGGTGGCGAGAGTATCGTCTCATAGTTCCCTGAATAGAAGAAATGCACCAAAGTATGGCCGGCACCTTCGTAGACATCTGGCAATGCAATTTCTGTAGCTCAAAACGATTGTAGTTGAATCTGTGGGCATTTGCAAAGAAATTCCTTTGGAAGCTTATACCGCTTATTCCCAATCACAAGGGTAATAAACGGCGACTCGTAGGGCCATTTCGAAGATCAGAATCAATGCAACAAATCTCTCGAAAAGCTCAATCTGCAAGTCGACAAATCCCCAGAGTTCGTTGATACAAAAGGCCAGATTGCAAGCCTTGTTGCGAGGCTCCAAAACTTACCTACCAAACCACCATCTCTATATATTGATCTCGAAGGGATCAATCTCTCACGGCACCGTAGCATTTCGATCTTACAAATATATGTTCTTCCGCACAAAGAAACCTATATAGTCGACATACGTAGCCTCCAGGAAAAGGCCTTCCTGTCGAGATGTGTGGTGCCACCCTGAGACATGAACAAATGCCTCAATGGCGTCATGCCGAGACAGATAAACTATATGTGATGTTTAGTCAGCATTGTCCGCACAGATTGCTTAAAAGGCGCGGACCTTGTCATTATTTAGAAGAAATTCAGAGTATTTTTTCATACCATTTCAAGTGTTCTACAATCTCTTACAGAAGGCGTAAACAATTAAGTTGTCAGGGGACATGAAATTTTGGAATGCGCCCTATCCGAGACGGTGATCGACGACCCCGGTAGTCTCCGGCTGCCTTTCATGCTTGGCCTTGGCCAGTGTCCTGTAGCTGAGATGAGAAGGGCTTGTCCCCTCATTATCAGTCCAATTAGAGGGCAGTCCGTTGCACGATGTTGATCTGACGGTTAAATATTTAGCGGCACATTTGGGTTAAGTAAGCATCGGCTTGTGGGGTTTCGGGAATTGAAGCTGATTTGAACAATGCCATTTGTGACTTTCCTGGACTGACGAGAGAAGATAATAATTGCTGTTTAATCGGGCTACTTGAGCGACAGCTTCAATTGATGGGCTTTCTATTTATGGCCTTCTCATGTACTCCCGCCCTCTGACGGTTTCCGTGCTGATTCCTTGAAGTATCGTGCCCTTGCGTTGCGGATGCTCACCAGATCTGTGTTTAAATCGTTCTTCATTGTTAGCACTAGACCGCCTTTGGTCCATTTTCCGGGTAGTCAATCAACTGCAAATTCTTCACATCTTTACATTTCATCTCGGAGAAAAAAGCAATGTATTTTCCATATGGATCGTAGAGCAGAATGTATATCCGATGGGCAAAGATTTGTGTTCCCAGGGGCTGATATGGCCATAAGGGACGACACTAATTTTGCAGGCTAGGCAGGTTTGTGGATTCTAGCGGACACATACTGGAGAAGAATGATGACACGCCGCTAGACCATTGTCATTCTACCCGAAAACCGTCTCCAAATCCTATTGAGGATCTGCGTGACAGGTGATGGTAGGAATGAGTCCTCCTCGCTCTCGTCCGTCATATCCCGTCCCAAGTCATCCGCAGATGGACTTTCAAGGACCTCTGTGGCTGCCTGGCTGTTTTTGTCGTTTTTGGGGTGTCCATCATAACCAGCCTCGGTCGAACTCCGTTCATCATCGCTTATCGGTTCAGGCCTTTCTGCCCTTACTCCAAACTCCTCCCATTCTTCATCGCCTACCGTGTTACGATCCACCATATTGATCAATTGCTTGTCTGATTTCGACTCCTCCGAGTACGTGTACATCACGAGGTCACGCATGGTCGACTCATCCAAATGTCCTCCATGGACATGATGGATCTTCCCTGCCATGGCAAATAGTCGTTCCGAGCCAGCACCCGTAGTCGGAATGGAGAGTAGATCGCGAGCCAGTCGAGCGAGAACAGGCCATTCGTGTTGATGATCTTTCCAGTAAGCGCGTGGCGAAATATTCACAGCCCCTACGGTGTGTCAGTAGTCAACAAGAGATATGCCAAGCAGTTATTCATACCTTCTCGAAGATATTGACCAACTTCATCTTTCTGATTCGTTGAACTGGCCACCAGACCAGTCAATGGGTGCAGAATCCGGTCGTGTTCCAACAAATGCGGAGAACGAGACATTCCATTTACGCAAGACAAGCTCGTAGGCATTTGCGGTCGGTACTGTAAATGAAAGATCTTTAGATATTCAATGTAGCGCTCGGGGTGGCCCAGGCATGATGACGTGGCACCATCGAGAGCGGAAACCTTGTATTGGGGCGCAATCAAAGTCCCAGTTCCATACATAATCCCGAAGCGTTGGAATGTCTTTTCGTAGAGCTCTCCTAGTTCCATCTTCATGTTAAGCAACGCCCGACGTAGTTTCTGTTTCCACGGAGCTGATTTTCCGCCTAGTACTTGGATTGACTTGTCGATGTGCACCATAAGTGTCTTGAACAAAAAATAGGCTTTTTGGACTGTAGCATCTTTTGAGGCCAGGAGGGCCATAGTAAAATGAACGAATGGCGTTGTCAGCTGGACAAGATATTCAACCTTGCGCCACTCTGTATTCCATACTCTCAATTTTAGATCGCCGCTCTTGCGACAGCATTGATCGATATATCTTTGTAGTCTCCCCGCTCGCTTCAACATCAACAACGCCGAATTCCAGCGGTTGTTCGCATCGTCTAACGGCAGGAGTTCCATCCCCGCGGGCTGGAGACACAGAAATTCATCGCGCCTTTGGGGGCTCTTGTTGACAAAGTTTGCAAACGATCGAATCTGCAAATGCTAGGGTCAGATGCCTTCTCGCCGTGATGATGGAGGGGCGTTTACCTTTTCCAAAATCCTCGCTATTCCTGCCTCATATGTTGTTTCGATTGAGTAAAAACCACGCGATATTGCGCGCTCATCCTCAACCGTTTCCCCTTTTGGGGCATTGGTGATGTTTTCGATAAAATGTCCAAGACAGAGCTGAATGGCCTGCACTGTTCCAGGAACCCCAGCAAAGCATTGACAAGAGCTGATACCACCAGAAGAAGTGAGCTTCTCTTGTAATGACTGCACCAGTTTCTCATCGACCCTATAGTCGATTGTCACGCTGAATATCCGACGAAGCAACCCTTTTTCTTCGATCAGTCCAAGTATTTGATCACTAGCGTCATTCCCTGTCTCGGGCCTGTAAAGTAGTTCGAATCCAAGCAGCACCTCTCGGTAGGACCACTTTTTGTCAAAGTAATATGCAATAAATAGCCATGAACTCCTGCCCGAGCGGACTTTTCCAACAGCACAAAGCAATCGATACTTTGGAATCTCCGGGCAGATCCTGCAGCTGTGACTCTTGGTAGGTGGTTGCCGTGTCGTGAATATGCTGGAGGAGTTGCTTTGACGATGGAATTTCCTGAACTTGAGGTCCGGCATAGACTAGGTCCAACAATTCTCGGAATGTGGGTTCTTCCGTAAGCCCAAAAGAAAGGCTTGCGGACATAATTGTCCGCAGAAGCTGTTCTTCGAGCTGTGCTTTTGTGAATCTGCTCCTCTTTGGTGAAAACTCTGCTCGGGCCTGGATTGGGCCTGGGGTGACAGCAGAACTAGGGGCCTTCTCCTTGCCTCTGCGACATGAGTTGGATTTCAAGTGCTTGCCCATCGCGCTTGTCCCATGAGATTTGTGATGTGGGTGATCAAGCGTCGCGAGGCAAGAACGACAAATAACTTTCGGTCTACCGGACCTGAGCTCTGCCACTTGGTCAAAATGCTCCCACACCTCCGAGGAACGCGACTCCGCTGACCACTTTACTTTGGATTTTCCTCCTTTGGTCAGCTGTCGTCCATAGTCGGTGTCCAGCCACCACGATAAAAATTCATTCTCCCGGGCGGTCTCGTAAAGCACCCAATTTCGGCGGGCGGGTGCAAACCGCGTGAGTTTTGCCGAGGGACTTCTGGGCCGGGCTTCCATAGTTACGATCCTTGAGGGGCCAGTGAATGGCTTGAAGTCGTAAATTAGATTAGCATCGGTTGACCGACTCCAGGTGATGACATACCGAAGACCGCGATCTTGTGACCGACGACGAATCTGAGGCGCCAATTGAACACATCGCGCTGAAGGGATGTAATACTGGAAGGAGAGCCGCCAGAATAAATATAATCATAGGCAAAGCAAGCGAGACTGGTATTAGATTTTTATGGTAAAGTGACCAATACGTCCCGGGAATCAGTCATCGCATTGAACATTATATATCTTGGTCTCCTGACTAATCTGTTCGCTCCTTTGCCCTGATTGTTGAGGTTGATGCATTCCGTGGCCAGATTGAGAAACCATCGATGGTGGATTTGAGATGGTAAATTTACAAGTCCTCAAGCATGTAGATAGCCCGCAAATTGAACCACCAGCGGCTTCTACTGTCTCAACGTCGGCAAACGTTGCAAAATGTCTCACCGCATCCCCGTTGATGACTCTATCGGATTGTTGATATTTCACTACCTTCAAGATCGTCCGGTTATAAATGAAGCCTGCGCGATACGTAGGGATATCTTGAGCGGTGAAAATCGATGACGCCAACGATTTCTAACGCCTAATTGGCTCAACAGACGTGTTCACCAGGGATTAAGTTGAATCAACGTCCTAGTAAATTTGAGCCATAAGCACTGGCAAAATTCTCTCCCATATCATCGAGGTTTTCACCGGCCCTTTGTACATGCCTCAGTCGTTCAAACATTAGTTAGACATGGTCCATAATCGAATAGATCCTTGAGCTACATAACTCCTGTTCCTTCCACTGTCACCATCTTGTTCATCAAGTGAGCAAACATCACCTTGGGTGAACTATAGTTTATCATTAATAAAACTTTTTCATAAATAAAAAAGCATCACGTTGCGTATAGAGTCTACTCACTCTTTTTGTAGGGCGGGGCCAGGCCCTCCCAGGCAGAGCCTGGGGCCCCCCAGAATGATCCATCAACACTTTGATGTAAATATATATATTCACGATATATATATCTGTAGACAAATCATGTGCTACATCCTGCTATCCAGCTATGACTAACGCTATGTCGGGTTATGTCATTCCGACAATTTCCGAGTTGTCTCCCTCTTAATTCACCATTTCCTTTGAATTTACCACTCCCTCTCAATTCATCACTCCTCTTCAATTCATTCCTCCCTACCCGGTTTCTAATACCTTGAATCGCTTTAAGCAGCAAGACATCGGATTCCTTACTCGGGCGTTGGATTGCATATGCAATACTGTATCTTTTCGTGGAATGAATGCTGACGATTTTGTGGATGAAGGGCACTAACCCGGACTGGAAAAACATTTCTCAGACTGAGCCAGCGACAATTATTCCTCCGCTCGGACATGAAACACGCTAGTCTATATCCGCTTTCGCCGATTTCAATACCACCAATTGCAAGGTATGTAAGATCATATGAGGCTAAGCTGTGTAAGTCACCTGAACTTATCATCCGATCAGTCTCGATGCTCAACAATCTTCAGCCCAGCATAATTGTATTTAATTTGAGAGTCTCTTAAACTCCCCATTCATCATATATCAATTCCAGTACCCCCTCACTGCTAACATTTGTGGCCTAGCATAATGTTAGACCTTCGAAGTCTTTCTATGTCAATCTTCCTAGTCCGAAAGAAACGTTGGACTATCTCGCTCTAGACACCCCCAGCATTTGTGCTTAACTTACATTCTTGTACAGAGTATTTCTAGTACTCAAACTCCACGGAGCAACGGATCTTGCTTCCGCTTCTTTTGTAAATCTCAAATTCTGGCGGAACGGCGTGATGGGATCGGCGACATAAGACTTTTCATTCCCGCCTCTTTCTCAGGCCAAGGAAGACTCGAAAAATCGACGGCGCCGCCTTTGAGAGATAATCAGTTTTTCGATGCTCCAAATGTCGTTGAAACACATACTCGGATCTCCGTTGTGCTTTTCAAGTAGGCAAGGAGCCACCTCCTCAAGCACTTCGGATTTGAGCCAAAGGGCAACTTGAAGATCAAATTCCTTATCCCCTTTTGACACTTGGCGTGGCCCTGAAAATGCGCAGAACTTCTAGGTTTCGACCTTTCTTTCCTTTGCCTTCTGTCGTATCCAAGGCTACTTGGAGTTCGCATTCGTACCAACTACCCGACCCCTTGCCGAGTTCAAGGGTTCGAGGCTTGCACCATTCATTCATACCCAGGGCAAAAATTTGGTGATTTTATCCATTTCCATGGATACCACCCCTTCTACCAAATACATTGCGGTATCATCAAGGATCTTGTAGCACCGGATACAGGATATCGTCTTCAAGGGAGCCGCGATAGCCTAATGCTTATCAGTTAGACTGCTCGAAAGAGTGGCCACAGAAAGAGTATCTCCATACTCATGATACGATAGCTATTTACATGGCATTTTCGTTATTGTGCTGAGGTACTGCCAAGCTTATCGGTCAGGCGTTGACTGATCGCAAAAGGTATGGCTTCAACAAAGACAGAAGACCCTTTGAGAAATTTATGTCGGCTCGGATTTTGATGTGAGGGCCATAGAGGCTCGAAAAGAAATCTCGAATCGTCGATATTCTTGGTTTTCCAACCCATTTCGTCAACATTGGAAATGACTATCGGAATGCGTCATGATGACTCTCCAAGCTTGCATTCTTCCTCTCGAAAACGCAGTACTCCAGCGTCTACGATAGGTGATTCGAACAGCCACCGTCCGCCTACACGTCATGGAAAGACTCCCGTAGACATTAATTTCTCTCAAGATTCTCGCGATGCGAGTGAGAATGAAATTCGCAACGATAAAATTTCTTCCGGACAACCTCCAACGTATATTTATTAAGTCTTATCACAATCAGTAAATTTGATCCATATCTTTCGCAATTCCAGACAATGAAGAGTTTGTGGGCTATTCTCTATGCATGCTTGTTTTTCAGCTCCGATGTATCCGCCGGCCCAGCCGCCTATGGAGTATGTCAAGCAGGATGTGCAACGGTCGTAATGGCCTTTTACTCGGCAGCAGGCTTCACATGGGGAGCCACGATGGGTGCAACCGTACCTGCTTCTATTCTTGCCTGCAATCCGGCTTTTGGAAAGTGCCAAGCGGCCTGTGCTTCTGTTCTACTAGCACCAACATTTTGAGGGAGATGAATTCTTCCAGGCACCATATTCGACTGAGCTACAAGGAGGCATATCATAAAATTCCTCCATACAACCTAAATCATCCCTTTCATTTTGAGCTAGCTGTTTTGGTCTCAATGAGTCTTACATATGGTAGTCTTAGGTATTGCTAGATATTCCATCCAGATTGTCTGTCTCTTCGGTTGAGAATGGCCGTTGTTAACTCTGATTTTACTTTTGCAGTCGTGTACTTCCGGATAAGGTAATTAAAAAGGATATCTTGTACTTATAAGCGAATAAAAGCGACTACGGATATAGCATTCGTAGGGATATCCAAAATGCGAAAGCATCAAAGTAAATCGTTTCGCAGAACTTCTTTAGGACTGAGATAGAAGCTTCAATTGTGTGGACACTAATGACGAAAGATCCCATGAAATGAGAGAAACAATTTCTAATGGTAGCTAGTTCTTCTGATTTGATGGCAACACAACATCTCCCACCATAATAGTCCCGCTTCCTGGAACATTTCTCTCAACGTTCTCACCATCCTCTGTCGACATTGTCGCATATCTACCAAACTGGATTCTCCCATTGACCTTTCGTATCTTGGGCAGCGCAGCCAAGATTTCATTGCGTTGTGCGCCGGTAACCTGGTCAACGCATAGCATCTGACAGCGCTGGCAAGGGTCAATGGTATCAAACAGGAGCTGGTCTTTCCCAATTCGAATGGATGACCAGTGGTCTTCGGCATAGGGGTGTTCGGCATGAGCTGACTGACAGACCCGCTCAGCAACAACGATGTTGCTCTTGAACAAATCTGCACCGATGGCCTTGCTCACGCCGGAGGTATGCTTGATGTTTGCTTTGATTGTTTCGTTGAGGCAGTTGATTGACGACCTAGATACGATCAAAAGAGACATTTCGTTTGATATGAGCACGTATTTCTGACAATCTTGGCGCGGTATTCGGTCAGCGGGCGAAAATGACTCCAAGGTAGCTAACCTTCGGAACCGATTCTTCCAGGTACTAGCCAGGCTAGGTGGCTTCATATCGAGATTTGCATCAAGTGGTGAGAATCGCGCAAGAGTACAAGATACACCTAGGTGCTCTGTAAAGAATGCCGAGACCACTGGCGAGGCGTAGGCACGAAGGCATGAGCTATGATCGTATACGCTAGGCACTCCTTTTCGACAGCTCGAGCGTACTGGGGAACTCATAACAGTAGTGCTTCTAGCATCCCAGATAAGTGGAATTTTG